ACATCATAGCAGCTCTCACTGCTGTCTTTTACTTCAACTTTGCTGCTGTTCTTCTGTCAACAGTTTCATTATTTAAGTCAGTGGAAAACTCAACCGTTAGCCTTGTGCTACAGTCAGTTTGCTAGTCCTAGAGTGTGTCTCTCTGTTCTGTTTCTCTCGTTTCTGCTGTTCCTGCCTCGGTTCCACCTGCTGGGAACTGGAACCTGTTCTACCGTGTGAGCGCATGTGTTATGTTCTTCACTGGGGAACTATACACAGAAACACCATAGTTCTGACTGATGTTAGTCCAAGTCACTCAGTGCCCTGTGGTTCTGGGGTGTGTCCACATGACACCTTGTCATTACACACACGCACACGCACACACACACACACCCTCACACGAATGTTGATTTGCTTTACAGCTGTCAAACATACTGTACTTCAGGTTCATTACTGCCATTTGCGGGGCTGCTACATGTGTGTAGTGTGAAGTTGTACTAGTTGAAGTTGAGTTTTAATTCTTGGATTGTCTAGATCAGCACAACCATCCCAACCTTTCTTGTACCACGGTATCAGCCGTTACTGCAGTAATACCGTGCCATCGTTAAAGGATCTTTACATTTTCAGAATAAAACATCTCCTTGACGTTCTTCTGTCAGTATCAGAGTCTGAATGACCTGTTGTTCTGAAACAGATTATCATCTAATGTTTAAAATGATATGACTGGACTCTTTATGAATGGAGTAAAATAGTAAAACTGAAGTATAGTTTTTGTCCACTATGTCCCACTGCGGCCCAATACCAAATGACCTACGGACCGGCACCGGTCCCTGGACCGGGGGTTAGGGACCCCTGGTCTAGATCATTTATTCTTAATCCTGGGACGTCATAACGTTCAGTATCATTCCATAAATGATATGAGTGTGAAGAATCACATCTGTAGAGCGCACTTTTGATGTTTAGCAACATTTTAGCTAAAGGTTAGCAAAGAACCAATGTCCCCGCTCCCACAGTGTCTCCATTCACTTGTCCAGCCTGGGACTGGGACAGTGTGTCACAGAGGCAGCTGAGGTCAGTGCAGCAGTGGGAGGAGCTTAACTCCTGAAATCGGAGCCTTCATTGGTGATCACATGACTTTGCTCTGATTCCCAGTGGGGTGACCCACTGGGCCACAGGGGGGACACTCCTCACCCTAAAAGGAGAGGAAAGAGAGTGGTAAAAGCAGCCACGTGACGCTGAACACGGCTGTCACAGCCAGAACATCGGAGAACTTTTAAGCTTTGGAGTCTTTCCATGAACCAAAGTTTTAACACAGTTTTCAAGGTCGTATTCAAGCACTTTCCAGCACTTTCAAGACTGATATATATGCAGATGTTTGTGAAACTGTTAGAAACCGTTGCCTGAAACACATTACAAAACTGTTCATGTTGGTCAGTTAGCATGTTAGCAGGTCTGGGTATAACAGGAGTATCCTTCAAAGGCTGGTGTTTGTAAGTGAGGATCAGAGTCGTGGGTCAGAGTAGACTTGGCTTTAAAATGACCAGGGATTGAATAGGTGGCACACACAGATGATCATCAGTTACTGGGAATCAAACCACTGACCTTGTTTCATGCTGTAAGGCAAAAGCATCAAAGCACTCAACCTTGACTTCACCGTGTTAAACACAATCTTATTAGTTGTAGGAAATGAAGTTGATGAAGATGATAATAGTTGGTGAGCCTTGTCCATTAGCATGTTAGCTGGTTGGACTGGTGGCTCGATACCTGGTGAATCATTTTTACTTTTCAAACGATGTTCCTGGTGGAAATAATAAAATCCTGTCCACTTCTGTGAAGGGACACAGAGCCAGGATGGAAACAGCTGCTAAATGTGCATGGATTCCTGATGCTAATTCCAGGTCCAGGTTAAAAACCAGGACCTGACCTGGAGAACCTGGAGCAGGTACCATTGACCGACACGTGATCCTGTCACACCAAGGTCTGGTCCCTTGAAGGTCGTGGATTTTCCTGCGGGTCAAAGTAACCTAACGCTAACCCCTAACCCTTATGCACCAACACTAAATAGAAAAATAGATCTAAATGGGAGAAAAAGGACAGACACACACACACACACACACACACACTGAAGAGGAGAATCAGTGACAGTGGCCACTGCCTGTGGATCAGCTGTTCACTGTAGATAAATGACAGTTCAGTCAAAAGAATATGTCAAAAATAAATAATGACTAAAGAAAAAAGCAACAACCAGGTTTAACATTCAAACCTACAGCAAATTCAAGTCCTGACTGGATCAGTCCAGTCCTGAACCCTGTCAATGTTTACTGCTCCTCCCCCCCCACCCCCCCTCCCACACACCACTGTTCCCCAGACCACTGTTTGGGTTTGTATTCTCTGGGGCCTGGATCTGGACCAGGACTGGGTCTAACTGGCAGAGGTTTGTTCCTGTCAGTGATTACATTTATCCAGCAGAGGAAGTTCTTTAATCAGTGCTGTGACCTGCTGTCAACAACATGGGAATCAGCTGACACCACTCACTGTCCATCAACTGTGTCCAAAGTCTGGACCCAGGCCCAGTGGTGGCACGTAGACATCAGATATTACTGGATGTCAGATATTTGGCCCAGTTGGTTTAATTAGTTTCCAGAGAAAACCAATCACAGTTTTTATCATATATCCTGCTAGCTCCTAGATTAGCTTTTAGCACGACATGTTAAATGTTTTATTTCTTCTGTCATTACTTTGGTTAGCTTTTAGCTACTCTCAGCCTCACATGTAGTTGGCGTTTTGTTAACAATGATGGCTAATTTAGCAAACAGTTCAATTCAATTTCAATCATTTTTTAAATTATATTTTGGCTTCCTATTAGCTTCCATTAAAAGTGACACTTAGCATCAGCTCCTGCTTCATGACAACCAATCAGAATCAACAGAGAGACTTCAGCAGCTCAGAGGCTGTTGTTAATAGAGAACCATGTTCAATGATCAGTCTGAGCTCAGGACAAACGCTGTGTCAGCAGCGTTTAACTGCTGGGTTACTGTGTCATGAAGTGATGTGTCTTTGGTCCTGATGAAGATCTTACAGCAAACACACACACAAACTGACACATACACAGTGTCTGTGTGGGTGTGGGTGTGTGTGTGTGTTGTGGGTCAGTGTTTTGGACGGTGAAAACATAAATCCTAGTCATTAAAGGTTAGATGTGAACGAAGACACAGGTGACTGTGGTGGTCACTGATCCTGATCGACTGCTCATGTCTGACTCTTGATTTATTGACAGTCTGGTTGATGTAATTACAGAGCGGTTGACCCTGCGGGGCCTAACCTACAATATTCACACTCTGCTCACTGACTCACTGACCTGTGCTTTTTCTGCTGACTCCTCATGTCATTTTGAAGCCAGAAAAAAAGGGCAACACGGTGTGATAGTGGTTAGTGTTCTTGCTTTACAGCAAGTGGGTCGGTGGTTTGATCTCCGCTGGTAAATAGATGATCCAAAAACATGCAGGATTATGCCAGTTTACACTAAATCAGTGGTTCTCAATGATATTCTGTCATGCCCCCCAGTTACCCCCCCCCTTGGGGACAGAAATGTTCTCACCTCCTCACACCGTCCCCCCAACCCCCGCGCAAATTGAAATACTATAGAGAACCTGATAACATGTGTATTTTTATCTGTACAAACCACTGTATGAGTTGCTGCCCCCTAGTGACTGGAGGCTTGTTATCATTCAAGTATTACAGCAGTGGTACACTTACGTCCAGTGTACTATATTCCACTGGAAGCCCCTCATGCCCCCCCCCCTCACCCTCCGGCACCTCAGCATGCAAATAGGGGTGCTGACCCCATTATTTGAGAAGTACTGCACTGAGGTGACCATAAAAGTAGATGTGTGTGTGTGAATGGTTGGCTGTATGTAGGACATATATACATATATAAAAACAATATAATTATTTTATATTATACACTGTCATTTTAGGACCTCCCCCCCCCCCCTCCTGTCCCATTTTCTTCTTTTGTCTCAGCTCTCTCTTCCTCCAGGTTCTTGACACTCAGTAGCACTGGGTGTTACGTAACACATCAGCACAGCACTGGGCAGTAAGTGGGCCAGGCCCGTAGCCGGGGTCATACGAAGTATCCCAGGACATACATGTATTTCTTATGTGTGTTCTGTGGATACTGGGCTGTACACAGCTGTCGTTGGTGTTTCAGTTGGCGGTGTTCGTTACCATAGCTGAGCTAACTCTTTTAGACACCTGTTCTTTTCACTATTCACTGTTCTTTGCCAAACATTTAGCTGCTTTGAGCCTAATAATAATGTTTTTCCTGACTGGTTGCTTGTGATTTGAATCTTTTTTTTTTTTCTCCAGTGTTGTCCTTTGTTCCAGAATTGTTCACAGAGATGACAGAATGCCCTGGAGACTTTTCTAAGGAGGCAACCAGGCCACAGACGCAGGTCTAAATCTATTTATCTGTTCCACCAGGGAGTCTGGACTCGACTGATTTGGTCTCGCTCCAGGGACAGGCTCTATATTTACCTGCTGCTCTGTGACAGACGGTCGAATTAAATGTTAGGTAACAATTACCACAGAGTCACTCCAAGAGGCAACAAAAGATTACGGGCTTATCTGCAGTAACCGCAGGCGGTACAGTGTCTGAGCGTCTGCTGTGTACAGCTGCAGTGCTCACTGTGTCCACAAGAGGGCGGGTTTGCCTTTGACTCGGCCTGATCTGCTACAAGTCTACAAGTTAGGAGGTGAGAGGACTGCAGAAGAAAACATTTCCGTGTGTTTTAGCTTCAATTTGAAAGTAATTTTCCTGAACTTTGGCTGATTTATTTAAACCACACACCATCTGTTTTCTTTAGGACTGTAGGGTTAGCTGTGGCTAACTGTTGGTGGTTTCATGCTGCAGCTGAAGAATGTTTTGTTTTTAGCTTTGTCCCACCAACTATTCCAAAAATATTCCAATTTATGAAAAGTCTAATGATGTATGAAAGAAAACATTTGTTGTGTAGTAAACATCTGTGTCAATTATACATCTTTAGTTTTTACAGGAAAAACATCTTAGTACATTTGTATTTGTAGAGTGGGTCACGTCTGCTGCACACAATTAGGATTAAATAGACACATCGAAGCTTGTACATATGTGCTGTTTCTACAACAGCATTAATAATATGAATAATAATACCCACTGTTTCCTGCCATCATTTGTCCTGTGCTGACTTTGATTCCACTTTAATTCACAAATCATTCCAAAACACAAACAAACACGGTAGTGATGGCGTTTTTAAGATGAAGTGCCGAGAAATGAATGAGTCCAAATCTCCTGAGGCAGCGTCCGCCTGTGGTCCACTCAGCTTCACCTTCACAGTCCACCGTCGTCCTGCAGGGAGACACAGGTCAGGAGGTCATGTCAGGGAGGAGGTTCTCATGTGTTTTACTTTAACGTATTATAAAAGATTCTGAGCTTTACCTCTGGACGTCTGACTCTAGGTTTGATATTTGTTTGGCTAATTTTTATTGTTCAACTCTCAGACCCTTGGTCTCAGACTTGACTGATATCTTAAGCTAACCTTTAGTTTCATGTTTTGATAAATTACAAATTTACTATCATTGTTTGAACAACTTTTAGTGAATTTTTTGTCACATTGCTTACTTTTTGCTAACTCTCGGTTGTCTTCTTTCCACTAGTTATGAGAGCTGTTGTTTTTTTTTTAAATCATTTATTCTTCATTTTAAAACAAGGTCAATTTAACCAACGGTTTGCTTCACTTATGGCAAAACCTTAAAGAGTTTTTGGCAAATTTCTGGATATTTTGGTAAATGCGTTGGCCAGTGTTTTTGTTAATGTTAAAAAAGATTCTCTGTAACTTTTAGCAGCATCTATTAGGCCAGGTTTTGGCTTTACCTTAGCTAACATTAATGGCTAACTTTTCACCACTTCTGATCTGAATATGCTTTAGCCAATTGACTGCATTAGATATTTCACATTAAAAATGCAGTAGTAGTAATATCATTGGTGTTTACGTTACATTTGTCCAGATTCTTTGCTAACTTTTAGCATCTCTTTAAGCTCTTATTCTTATGTGTTTGTTTTCTTTAGTGAAGCTGCTAAAGGACCAAACCCACGTCTTTGCTGTCGCGACAGTCTCCACAGATGCAGCCGATGCAGCCGTTCACCACCTGGATGCCACACAGCACCAGCTGCAGGACGCCCATGCTCAGCAGGATGGAGAACAGGACCACGTTCCACAAGACGATATTTTTGGGGAAGATGCACAAGGACCACAGCTCCTGGTTCACCAGGTAGCTGGTGTTTCCTCTGGGCAGCAGAAGAAGACGGAAGATAAGTAGAAGAAGGAAAAAAGAAAGAAGCAAATGAAGGAGGAGGCGAAAGACAGAAGCCAAGAGAAAAAGGAAGGGCGGAGGTGTGGGCAGTGAGGGGGAGACGAGAGGAGAGGAGAGAAAAGTCGAAAAGTCTGTCATTTCAGTTGCCTTACAGAACTCTTCAACCTTAAGTTGTACTAGTTTTCCTCCAAGTATAGACAATTGGCTGAACACTGCCACCTGCTGGTACATTCATGGAACTAGACGTCCCCATAAAAATAACAACAATGATCAAAAAAAGGTTTGAAATGATGCAGGAATCACTCACGTTCCCAATTTTTCAAACGGATATTCCCACGAGTTATCTGCCACCTGACACTGGGGTCCAATGGCCAGAGCGCTTGAGGCCACACTGATGCAGTAGAGCGCTCCGACCACACCGAAGGCCGAGCAGAAGACGGAGTTGAACATCTGCAGGAGGACAAAAGAAGAGTGAGAGATGAATCAGGACAAGGCAGCAGCAGGAGTCCAACAGTAAAGACCGTGTTTTCTTTTTTTTAACTTCCTCAAAAGAAAAGTCTTGAGGAGTCCAGTTAGCAGCAGGTGTCAGTTTCATGAAGCCGTAGCTCAGTTTGAAGCATCTCCACTCCAGCTACATCTGAGCAGGGAGAAAAATCAGGTTCGAAGATTCTCAGGTTCTTCTCAGAGGAACATGGTGGAGAGGTTACATGATGCTCCACCCTGATACTTTTCACACTGCTAGATCTTCTTGTATCAGGAGACCAGCTTCCGTGTGTGTGTTTGAAAAGACACACACATACACACACTGTCTCTGCCTGTTTATAGAACACGGTTCTCCCCGTGCCTCTCTTATCACAACTTCTCTGTTTGAACTCAAACATACCCACAGTCATGTCACTCACCCGGCAACGGTTTCCACAGCAACCAGCTCCACAGCAACCTTTGCCCCCAGCTCTGATGGCGGAACAGCTCGGACACAACATCTGTAACATAAAGGAGAGAAGAAAAAAACAAGATTAAATAAAGATTATTTATTTATTAAGAATGTAATAGCACATAATTAGTAAATTAGCTCGGAGTGGCAAACGGTTAGACCAGATAAAACAAGTTAGCTAAAACAGCATACGCTAGCTAAATGATAGCCTTAAACTCAAGCCATCATTAGAGACAAAACCCATCCCATTCACCACCTGTTTAACCTGCTGCCCTCTGGTGTTCATACCATGTACATACGCACCAAACCCTTTGGAGCAATAATCGTTTATGCAAACACGTTTTGAATGTGCAATAACCTTAGCCACACTGGGTACCATCAGGACTGCAATGCAACATATTTTCCATTTGCTTTACAAACAACCTGCAACACGCTGCCAGTATATTTGTTTTGGTCTTTGATTTTGTATTTTCAATTATGGGTTTCTTTTTCTATTATTTTTCTGTATCTGTATTTTTACTTAAATTATGACCAGCGGTAGAAGTAGCCCCACAATTTCCTTTGTACTGTACACAGTATAACGTGTGCGTGTGTGTTTGTGTGTGTATAAATTAGCTAAAGGGTGTACACAGTACTAATGTTAATAAGTAATAAGTTAGTTCACGTTAGTGGGTTGTACTGTGAGGGAAAAACATTTGATTTTTAGATAACTGTAGTTGAAGAGTAAACAAAGTGAATAAAGAAAAAAGTAAAGTTAGCCCAATGATAACTAATGGTTAGCCACTGGACACACTGATTTAAATTGCTCTCAAAATGAAGCAAAAGTTATTTTAATTACTTTTAATTACTATTGACTTTGTCTAAATGCGTTGATAACAACTATACTACATAACGGTGCAGCAGTAAATGACATCTTTACTGTGTCTCCACCCAGGATAACGTCAGTTAATCTCAGAAATAGAACCTTTGGCTCTTATGGGATTTTATTGCAGTGATATTAGAGGTGGAGCCAGGTTTTATGGCGACGGCGACTGTCACCGACCGCACCGTCAGGGGGTAACCCCGTCAGCCCCTCACAAATATTGACTTTACAACCGTGACACATGTTTCTGCTTCAGTTTTCTTTCCCCTTCCTCTTCAATGTCGACACTAGTTCTCTGTTACATTGAAGCAGCCTATGTATTTTAACTAATTTATTAGTCTTTTGTCTGTTTAGTTTTTATTCTTTTAAAAACTTTCAACAGGTTTAAATGTTTAGATATTCTGTTAACTTGGTCATTTGTGGTGAAATGTTTCTCTTTTTTAGCTTTGTTTTTAGCTAAGATACAAGTTTCTGTCAATCATTTATTGCTATTTTACAGCCATTTAGTTTGAATTGATGACTTTTAGCTTTATTTCTGAGTTTAATTCATATGTGAACTAACTTTGATCAATTTGGGGCTAACTCTAATAATCTTTAATGCAAAATTAAGCTAGTTTATTCAACCTTTAGCTATTCAATTTCAAGATTATAATATACGTAATTAATAGAACAATATTTTTTTTTCAAAAGAATAAGCTAATTTGGGCTAACACATGTTATCTAAAGATTAGTTCTAAGATAATCTTATTTAACTTTTAAACTTCAAGCTATTTGGAGGCTAAAGCCTGTCTACTAGGTAAGTCTTGACATTGATAAACCCTTATCTAACATTTATTATCCTTCAGGTAATTCTTCTGGAATTCATCAAACCTTTGTTATTTTGTCTCATTTTAGGCAAACATTTATGACTTCTTCTAGCTTATTCATAATTATTTTAGATGATTCTGTTCTGTTGTTGGGGGTGGCTCCACATTTCACCTCTTTGATACAGGAGTTTAACAGTTCAAGTAAAATAAGTGAAAACTGAACAGTAAGGTCTAATAGAACTGTACAGGTTGACACTGAACTGTAGCTGAGTGAAGAGAAGAAGACGCGGCTACTCACAAAGAGACCTCCTCCGATCAGTCCTCCCATCAACCAGACCTGCACGGAGATGTGTTCCGTCTCCAGACTTTTCCCATCAGGAAAGAAGAGTAGAATGTTGGAGAGAATGCAGACGAAGGCTGAAGGCAGGAGGATCAGACCCACCAGACGAGCGCACTTCCCTGTACAGCACATCTTCAAAATTTAAATTCACACCAGAGGAGACAGAGGAGACAGAGGAGACCGGAGGAGACCGGAGGAGACAGAGGAGACCAGAGGAGACCAGAGGAGATGTGATCAGTGCGGAGGGTTTGAGCCTCTGACACACAGTGAGAGTTAAACACAGTTTGAAGAGGAGGAACACACACACACACACACACACACAAATACATACAAATAGGTACACCCACACAGAAGGAACAAAGGCCAGTCTGAGTGAGTGTCACTGTTAGGCACACCTTCAGTGGAACAGGTCAGAGGTATTCTTAGTTATTAATTGTTTTTGCTAATTTTGCTAATTGTCGGCTAGTTTACTCTTTAAACTAACCTTTAGTTGTTACATATAACATTTTTTATCCGAGCCGACTTAAGCTTTTTAATGTTTTTTTATCTTCTTAATTGTTTTTATATTACAAGGTGTGGCTAATTTATATCTTTATTTGCGATTTGCTTAGCATGATGCTAATACAATTAGCTAGCTTAATGGTCTAACCTTAGCTTATCACACACGTGGGCTATGAGGTCAAGTGTTGCAACAGATCAGAGACGTGTTGGGTTGTGGTTTATTGTCCAGGTTTAAATGTCGGGGTTGAATTTTTATCTTGATGATTATTTGTAGTTATTTATGTTGAATTATAACTAACTCATAAAACGAAAAACCAGCAAAAAGTGGATTGAGGTTAACCTTATTTTACTATTAACTGTTTATCATTTTAGCCATTTTTTATTGTTATATATTTCAGCACAAAACTTTAGACTGTTTAGTTTTATTTTATTTTGCTAATTTCAGCTGAATCTAATGTTTAAAATGTTATTTTTACATTTGTAAACTTTTTTCACACACCATTTACAAACCATTGACTAGATTACTTTTCCATCCATCCATCCATCCATCCATTTTCATCCGCTTATCTGTTACCGGGTCGCGGGGACAGCAGTCTCCATGACCACCACCCAAATCACACTGCACCGTACCAACCCCCCTGAACCTTCCTGTGGGTGGTGAGTCCACTGGAAGGTACCAACCCCCCTGACAGGGACTTGAACTTGCCCAGGAGGTGAACCCTGGGGTTCAACACCACTGACAGAGACATGGCCTCTGGGCCAAAGCGCCACTAAAATACTTTTAATTTACTTTTTTTTTTAAACTTAAGCTAATCCTGGGCTAACCTTACTTTTAATTTACTTCTACCGACACACCGACACAGGTGTGTGTCTGTGTGTGTGTGTGTGTGTGTGCGTGTGTGTGTGAGTCTCCATCATTACCCTTTGATACCCACTGATAATGATTACAGTCCTGTATTTATGGCCTACTGTAAACACGTAAAGAGGATTGGCCCCTCACACACACACACACACACACACACACACACACCTTCCCTTTGTTGGAGGAACATTACTCATTACCTGTTGGACTCATTTTCCAGCCCTTCACTGGATCTAATGAGAACTTTGACTATGTTCAGTTTGTTTTCTAACTGTCAGCTATTTTTCCGATGACGTCACACTACTACCCATGGTTCCGTAGTCCGCCATCTTGTGTGGCAACAGAGCGTATAGATAGATATTATAATAATTCCAACCCAGGCATTACAAAGTCTGTTCTGAACACTTTATTTGGGGTAATTACATTATACTTTTATTTAATTCATATGTTCAATGTTAATCAAATTAAAATATATCAAAATGTACTTTGCATTCATGACAAATGCACACAATGCAAATGTAAATCATCAGCTGACCACAGTCCAAAACATTATCAGTATTTTCTATGTACATGTAGAATCAAACTATTTTTTATTTTAACGAAGAAAGAAAAAAATACATTTGTTTTTGTGATTTTGGAAAAAAGTATAATCTAATCAATAGTAAAACATGATTTTTCATGTAAACTCTTATTCTAATGATGTTCACAAAAGACACATTATTATTTACATTAACACGCTGTATTATTTGGGTGTTTTCCGCTAATGTCCGCCCGCTTCCACTCAGTCATACGAAGTTTGTTGACTTCGTATGGGTCTTGTCCATCTATTATTTTCAACTTGTCCAAGTATCTTGCCTTTCGTCCGATCCCCCCTGTGGCGATTTAATATTCTTGTCTTTTGTTGTCATTATCGATTATCGATTGTGATTTTGCCACACAACATGGCCGACGGCGCAAAGCATTATGGGTAATAACGATTATCGGAAAACCATCTATTGTTAGTTAGCTCACTTTTAGTGATTTCTGCTAACAGTAATCTCTCACTTTGGATATTTTTAGTTATTTTTCTGTTTCTGGTTGGCATTTAGTTTTATTGGCTATTGACACTTTGTAATTGTTCATTTTTTTAACTCAGAATTACTTCATAGAATAGGTTTCATTTGTAGGCTAACTATGCCCTGTTGATCATCTTTTTTAGATTAAACATTGGCAGTTCTTCTTATTTTAAGCTTGTTCTGTGGAAAGTAAAAACTGTTGTTTTAGAAATACTCTATGCCGACTAACGGCATTTACGGCGGCCTCACACACACACACACACTTTTTTCTTGTCATATTGATATCACCGAAAACACACATGGCCGCTTCTCCACCTCTCTGACTAGGATCAACAGTTCGGCTTCAGTATTATACTTTTTTCCCACTTCCTCATGATGAATTCCTGGTGGTGATTCGTCATGTGCGCTCAGTGCCACGTAGGGATTTACAAACGAAACGTACTTAGATTCCTGCGTAGACACACTTTGACACATCAGAAGTTTTCCGTTCCTACGACAGTTTCTGGATTTTTGCCATTTTACGTCCTTTTTCTACGACGAAATCTACGCACGACCTCTCTCTCTCGCTGTCCCTCCCTTCATCACCGCCTCTCTCCCCTCTCTCTCTGTCTCTCGCCCGCCCCCTCCCTCTCTCTCCTTGTGCTACGACAGCATTTTAAAAACAGGACAGTAAACATACAAGCGGACACAGGTTCCGTGAGGGTTGAAGAGTTGAGAGTTTCACAAAGACGTTTCACCTCTCATCCAAGAGGCTTCTTCAGTTCATACGTCAGAAGACTTGAGAGACGCAGACATGACAGGTAGACGTTTCCTGGACCTCTCTCGCCCTCTCTGTGTCCGTTGACGTGTTTTATTCTGGTTTATAATCTGTCTTTTCTCTGTTATCTGTGTCTGTCTTAACCTCTGGTGGTTTTTCAGACCCAGTCAAAGAGCTGATCAAAAAGTGTCTCCAGGCTCGGGACATGGCTTACTGCCCATACAGCCACTTTCCCGTAGGGGCGGCCATATTGACAACAGAGGGCGCCATTATCTCAGGTTATACTGGATATTGTATATTATAGTAGACATCCCATTGGTTATTGTTGGCCAACAATTTGCAATCTTGGCTACATGTTCAGGCTTGGCTTGAATTAATTTTATAATACATTTTGAGTTTAGACATACATTAACTAAATCCAGTTGCTTTGCTAGTTTAGCTGGATAGCATTTTTTTCTGATAACGTTTTCTTTAAAAACATCTTTAGGCCTTTTATGAGCTAAAATAAGATCAAATTGTTTCATGTTTATCTGTTGGTGACTAACCTTAACTACTTTTTCTGGTCCAATCTCATTTCATTCCCTTTGACGTCATTTTATTGTAGTTCAGACCGACTTAGTACTTTGTGGCTAATTCACGAACCCTGTGTGTTCTTCCATTGTGGGTCAGGCTGTAACGTAGAGAATGCATCATATGGTCTGACGGTGTGTGCCGAGCGGACGGCCATCCAGAGAGCTGTGGCGGAGGGATACAGAAAGTTCACGGCCATCGCTGTGACGTGGTGAGGCTCAGTGTGATGTCATCGCCATCATGTTCAGATCTTGTCTAGGCGATGACATTCATCAGTTTTCTTCCTCTTCTTCTTTTTCTGCTGCTGCTGCTGTGCAGTGACATCACGGACAGTTTTGTGGGGCCATGTGGAGCATGTCGACAGGTTCTTATGGAGGTGAGATCACCACCTTTTTTAGGGCCGCTGTAGATAATCCTTATAGTTTCCAGCTGACTGTGGACTGAAGAATTTATTTCAGGACAGGATTTTATATAATAAGTGCATTTAGGTTATAAACATGGGCCAGGAAACAATCCTAAAATGCTTTGTATATTATAAAAAGGATGTGTGCCAGACACTGTATGTGTCTGTTTTGTCACTTTCATAAAGTTTACAACATGAAATGAAAAGTTGTTCACTAATAAGATAGTTCAAGAAAATAACGTCTCAACTTATTTTTTACCAAGATTTTCAGAATAACATATTTACTTTTGATTTATTTTAGCTGTTAGCTTATTTCTTACTACATGCATGAATTGTTTTGTCTCTTCAACTAAGTTTGGTTCAGAGTGGACCGTGTACCTGACCAAACCTGATGGATCCTACAAGGAAACCAGCCTGAGTCAACTGTTGCCTTTGGCCTTTTCTCCAACTCACCTGGCTAAGAGCTAAACAGAAACAGCACTAACGGTGATGTTACATTATAGCAAGCAAAAGAAGAGTTTTGTTTTGATCATCGGCATATCTGGATTTTGCATGAACAAATAATAAAAGTATTTTTATCCATACACATTTTTGTAAATTATTTACATTATCTAACATGGATGGATGGTTGGATGGACCGACCGACGGACAGACAGACAGTCAGACAGACAGACAGACAGATAAACAGACAAACAGACAGATAGACAGATAGATAGATAGATAGATAGATAGATAATCAAAGAGATCTAGGGCAGGCCTTTTCTACTACAAAGAACAAAGGACAAAAGGAAAGGTATTTAAAAAAGCATTAATAGTTTTGATAATAATGCTGGATGTCTGGAATCAGCTCTACAGTGTATTTTCCTAACCAGGTAAAACAAAATAAATTATTACAAAGTGACAATGACGATAACTGACAATTAAAATTTAAATCTAAAATCCTCTTTAAAAGTTTTGTTTTTTAAATACAGTATTTCCTCAAAAATATAACGCAATGATTACGTTAAAAACGGCTGCGTCATGGCTGAAGAAGTGGGCGGGGACTACGACTGTTTCCGGAAACATGGAGGCGGTTGTGAGTGATGTGGTCGCTCCTGAAGACCTTCTGGTTAGTTTTTAATGAATTATTCTCTTCCTATTTAATCATATACATACACATACACATATATATTATTGTTTATACCTGTATGTGCTGTGTGTAATGTGGTAAAGAGAAATAAATCTGACGTGACGTTGTGGGTATTTTGCGATTACGGTGAGCTATGTGCTAATGCTAACGAGGTTATTTCCGCATATTTAATAATAAATGTAATATAACAAAGGCTGTAAATTAACATGTGTTTGGCTGTACATCTTTTTGACTGTGGCAGTGACAAATATATTGTGTTTGACAACTGTTGATGTTGTTTTTGACAGAAATTTGAGAAGAAATACAACAGTGAGTTGGCGAAGGGTGCTGTGTCCAAAGACACCAAGTTCGAATACGCCTGGTGTTTGATCAGAAGTAAATATACAGAGGACATCAAGAAGGGGATTGTGCTGTTGGAAGGTAAGACAAAGATGTATGGTCATGTATGGTTCGTCATTCAGTCACAGACTTCACAAATACCAACCGTAAACTGTATAGACAACTGGAAGATTAATCACATTTTTGTCATAAATCCCAAAGAAAAGTAATCTGGTACCAAGGAGATATATGAACAGTGTGGTATTCGTCAGGTTTCTGACAAATACTTTACTACAGAATACACCATATCTGTACAAAAATGCAGTATTGTGCCAAGCCATGTTATTGTACAAAACGGATCTCATATCAACAAGGCCAGTTCTTAATGCCTGCCAGCTGCCTGTAGAGAAACCCAGGCATTTTTTAGAAAAAGGTCAAAACCCTGGGGAAATTAGCCTGTTTGTGTAAAGGAGAACATTTTACACATAGAATGAGAAACTAAATGGAAAACCATAAGAAATGTGTGTGAATTTGATAAAATAATTAAGTAATATAACTATAAAATGAAATAAAAAGGTCTAAAAAAAACCCCAGTCATGTACACACTCCAGCCTGTAGGTGGCAGGAATGGGATGCTCTTGTTGATGTCACTGGTGCAAGGATTTAAGGATCTGTTCCTGTGCATTCATTTTCAAATCCAACAATATTCATGTACAGTCAATTATTTTACAATATTTATAATTATTATAATTGTAATCTTTTTAAATTTGATTTATATCTGTTAAAGTTTTATTCACAATATTTTTGTTCATATTGTCACAAAATCTATATATTTTAAACTCATTTTTAAGAGCACAAACATGCAGTCGTTGTTGTGATTGCTTTATTACAGTGTCCTGTCCTGTATCTAAACATTACATTGCTTCATGATGAACTTTGGTTTTTATTGCTGCTGTACGTACGTGGTATCTTTTATACAGCACTAATTATTGTTATGGAAACATAAGCACTCCTTTGATGCTTTATTTTTTATTTTTTTCTTTAGAGCTGGTTCAGAAAACATCAAAAGATGACTCTCGGGACTTCCTGTTCTACCTGGCTGTGGCCAACTACAGACTCAAGGTCAGTGCTGTTTCTAAAATGACACCAATGTTTTCTTGTTGTTGGCAAGCTTCCTGTTGAGGATGGACTTAAGTATTGGGCCACATTTATTGAGCAGCATGCGCAGGCCAACAGGCATTCATCGTTTTTCACACTGTGGTTGGAAATCAACAGATTCTGATCCGGTTTGACCATTAAAAACCCAAAACATGTCGATTGTGAATCTTTTCTTTATGTATGCATATGCTCAGAGCATGTTTAGCTTGTCTGCTAACAGCAAAAGCCACATAGAAACATCGTAGTTTTACTCAAATAGGGTTTAACTTTGAACTTTGTCTACTACCTTGAAAGATTTAAAACATTTTAGACTAAATCTTCCAGCCTCTTTACTAACATCTCATTTGTTTTACAGGAATATGAGAAAGCTTTAAAGTATGTCCGCACTCTTCTAAAGAACGAGCCAGGAAACAAACAGGCTCTTGACCTGCAGAAACTCATCGAAAAGGCTTTGAAAAAGGGTAAATAATGAAATGAAAACAATATGTGTCGTCCTGCTGGTGGACAGTCTAAAACTGTGTTTACATGCTGTGTCCTTAGACGGCCTGGTTGGCATGGCGATCGTGGGGGGCATCGGTCTGGGCGTGGCAGGCCTAGCAGGACTCATTGGATTAGCCGTGTCAAAAGGAGCTGCCAAGTCCTAAAATCCTCACCTGGCCCTGAAGGAATAACGCTTTTGTTATTTCGCTGGACTAATTCACTGATTCTGGGCTTCATTAATAAACATTTACACAGTTAATCAGTTTCAAGTTTGAAGGATGACAGTCAGGTCTGACCTTGTTTTCGACTGTGTTTAACCTGGTTTTCAAGTTAACGCGGTTGACTTCCTGTCTAATTTGGACATATTTACTCCTCACACTCTATGGCCTGACGCTTGTTTATGTATGTACTTGTGTAAATAACTATAAATAGATTTATTCGCAGCTCATATCCATTTGTTTCTGTTATGGCTGTATGGCATGTATCTGCCACACCTGCGTTTCCTGTCTTGTAAAAGTAATAATCAACATTTTTGTTTTGGGGAGAAGGCGTTAGGGATTGAAGGGCTCATTAAAAACCTTAAAAGTTTTTAAATTCAGCTTCATCCATCTATTGACTATTTGCATAAAGTCAAAATAGTTAAAGACAGAAAGTTTTTTTAAAGACCAGGCAGCTGAGTGGATAAAAGGTAAATGCACAAGAATTGGGTGAGACCAAGTTTGACTCCTTATTCAAATATATTTCCTAGAATCAAAGTCCAGGATTCAGACCCAGTCTTATCGCCTTTTATTGACGGCCTTAAATTCAGTATGAAGAATTAACGATTGATTTATAAGTTACAAATTAAAACTACTGCAGCAAAATAAATAGACGTGCTGGGAAAAAATGACCACAAAGAGAAAATGGATGGCAAAAAATGTTGAGAGAAGATACTGAAGAGAAGAGTGTTTTAAAATGTAAAGAGGACAATAATTGCAAAATACATATTAAATAAAACTGACTAAGAAAAAAGACAAATAGATGAAATAAGTTATTTTAAAAAAGTAAGAGAAAAAAGTCCAAAATGGCAAAAATGTCCTAAACTGACTAAGAAAAAAGACAAATAGACGAAATAAGTTATTTTTAAAAAGTAAGAGAAAAAATGGCAAAAATGTCCATTTTTAATGTGGCTGATAGATGGAGGTAAAGAAGAGTAGGAGAAAGAAAATGACACAAGAATTACAAATATCCTCACAGAAGAAAAATGACCAAAGAGCAGGAGGTGGAGGGTTCGTTATTAAATAGCAATTTATCAGAAAGTGATTGCACTGTTTAAACATGTAAAAACCCAGAGTACTGGTCCAGTCCACTCTGCCCTGGACCTGGATCATCGTGGTCTCTCTGACCCTCATTTCAGATAATTTATAACAGGAAGGTGGAGTCAGAGAGGATCAGTTCTGACCTGCCGTCTTATCACTGTTAATCATCCACCTGCCTGTCGGCATCGAAACTGTCCCAGGGACACCACAGCAAATACACACAGCATGTGCTTTTAGACGTCAAATAGGTGTTAATAAAGGAGGAGTTTGGGGAATGTAGATCTGAGGAGTCGTTTCTGGATCAAAGACTGGACTGGGTCTTTGTTCTCCGTCTCCGTCTCACATCAACATCTCAAAAGTTGCTGTCACGTGCTTCACCAGCTGC